AGCACACACACACACACACACACACACACACACACACACACACACACGTGATGCACTGCAAGGAATGCTCTCCTTTGGGGCTCTTGTTCTTTAAAGAAGCTCCTGTTTACTGCAGCTGCAGCCAGACAATTCAGACAGTGGTTGCCAACAATGAGCGCATCTTGGCCTCCCTTGGAACCTTTGGGGCTGAGCAATTCTTTTGGCTCCCGGACTAGTTTTCAATCCTTTAAAAAAAAAAAAAAGAGGGAGGGAGGGAAGGAGGGAGGAAGGGACTTTCATGGACAACCCTACCTCGGCAGTGGTTCTGCAAAGAAACACAAAACTACCCAGGTAACCACAACTGTGAGCTTTCCTGCAGCATTTGTGCCTCTCCCTCCCCTTGCAAAAAAAAAGCTTGCCCATCTCTCTCTCTCTCTCTCTTCCCTAGCCTCTCCATTTGTCCTCTGTCTGATGCTTGACTTCCCTCCATTGTTTTTAATCTCTCTGGCCACCACACTTCCTCCCTGGTCCTGGTGGGAAACAGATGGCTCTTGCAAGCTGTCCCTCTTTCATCAAGGACCATCGGATTGCAGCCTCTCTGCCAGAAGTCATCTCTGCAACATGTCCCTTCGGTTCTTCAAGGTAAACAGGGTTCAGAGGGCTGAATATCCAAGCAGGGATTAAATGGCACTGAGCAAAGCATTGAGACTTTTGTATGTGCCTGGTTATAGGTTGCAAGTTTGGAATGCATGCAGAGAAGAGCAGCTAAGAATAATTAATGACCTCGTGACTAAAACAGATGAAGAACAGTTGCAGGAATTGGGTATGGCTAGTCTAGAGAAAAGAAGGGCTAGGGGTAACGTGATAGCAGTCTTCCAATATTTGAAGGGCTGCTACAAAGAAAAAGGGGAGTCAACCTATTTTCCAAAGAACCAGAAGGCAAGACAAGAAACCATGGGTGAAAACTAATCAAGGAGAGAAGCAACCTGGAATTGAAGAGAAATTTCCGAACAGTGAGAACAATTAATCAGTGGAACAACTTGCCTGCACAAGTTGTGGGGGTTTCATCTCTGGACGTTTTAATAACCACACCTAGAGTACTGCATCCAGTTTTGGTTACTATACTCTAAAAAGATGTTGAGACTCTAGAAAAAGTGCAAGGAGCAACCAAGAGGATCAGGGGACTGGAGGCTCAAACATACGATGAACGGTTGCAAGAACTGGGCATGGCTAGTCTAGTAAAGAGAAGGACCAGGGGAGACATGATAGCAGTCTTCCAATGTTTGAGGGGCTGCCACAGAGAGAAGGAAGGGGTCTAGCTATTCTCCAAGGCACCCGAAGGCCAGACAAGGAATAATGGATGGAAACTGATCAAGGAGAGATTCAACTTGGAAATAAGGAGCAATTTTCTGACAGTGAGAACAATCAACTGATGGAACAGAAGTTGCCTTCAGAGGTTATGGGAGCTTCATCACTTGAGACCTTCAAGAAGAGACGGGACTGCCATTTGTCAGAAATAGGGTAGGGTCTCCTGCTTGGGCTGGGGGGGTTGGACTAGATGACCTACAAGGTCCCTTCCAACTCTGTTAATCTGTTAAAGAGAGAAGCAACCTGGAATTGAGGAGAAACTTCCTAATACTGAGAACAATGAAACAGTGGAACAGGTGTAAGTGCTCCATCATTGAAGGCTTTTAAGAAGAGACTGGACAATCACTTGTCTCAAATGGTATAGGGTCAAATGCTTTAGCAGGGTGTTGGACTAGAAGACCTCTAAGTTCCCTTCCAACTCTATTATTCTGTATTGAGATTTAGCCTTGCTTGGAACATGACTTTGAACATTAAAACCCCCAAAATGCCTTGTTCCCCCCACAACAGAGTCTGCCAAGAATGAATATCTGAAGTGATAAAGACAGAGAGTGACATTCTTGAGACTTTTAGACTTTAGAATAACTTTATTGTCACTTTGAATGTACACTAATCAGCATATATTAAAATGAAATTTCATTGCATACAGCTCTCAAAGCGTCTCCACCTCCAAATATACACTACATAAAAATTTGGAAAGAAATTTGGAAAGAAATTGAATGAGCATGCAAAATAGGGAATGAAGATACTTAGGTGGTGAGAGTGTCTGCTCCAGAAAATCTTCAATCTTCAGAAAATCTGTTTTCAGCTCCTTGTTGAAGACTAAAAATGGAGGGTTGATGCCTGGGGCCAAATCCTTCAACTCATCCGGTTTCCTAAATCAAAATTACAACACAGAAGAAGAAAAAAATAAACAAAGATGCATCTGACATTGGTTTTATCTCTCCATCTTTTCTATCTACTGTACCTTCTTTTTTTTTTCTTAGATCATCCTTCATTTAACTCGGAGGTCTCCAAACTTGGCAATTTAAAGACTTGTGGACTTCAACTCCCAGCTATGCTGGCTGGAGAATTCTGGGAGTTGAAGTCCACAAGTTGCCAAGTTTGGGGACCCCGATTTAATTCCCAAGAATCCCTAAAGATCCACCTGCAAAGGTTGGACAGAAATATCAATTTCACTTTGCCAATCTTGAAAAATTTTCAAGTTTGCCTGTGTTTTGATGGACACTTGTACAAACATGTCTGCAGCAGAGTCTTTAATTTCCCAGGTATGCTGCCTCTTTTAACCATCTTTTCACACACCTGGGCATTATTGTGCAGACTTTTCCTTAGTATGTATTGCAGGATTTGATCAAAGCGCACACTCCCATTAATAATATTGACCCATGTAGTAGGCTGTGTTGCTATTATCCCTGTCATCTTCTCATCTTTCCCATCTTCTCATCGCTCATCTACTACTATTATGATTTATCAATCGTTTGTATCTTATGATTTATGATTGTAGCTTAGAATTTATGATCTATGACCTGTCACTGTCATTCTAGTGTGTTCACTGAGAGCTTCTGCACTGGAGACAAATTCCTTGTGTGTCCAAACACCCTTGGCCAATTAAGAATTCCATTCAATGAGTCATTTTCAGATTCTAGTTTGGTTTGAACGCAAGACTTCAGTTGTGATCACAAACAAACAGCGAATGCATGAAATTTCACTTCCGTCCCTCTTACCTTGTCATATCCACAGTGGTGACATTAAATCTGACACCTTTGAGCCATAATACCATAAAGAGGCTTTGACAGAATGGGCAGTTTCCAATGTTCTGTCCGTCCAAGCCAGCCTGCCATAGGAACAAAACAAAACAAAAAAAGTGATATATTTGTTCTGAATGACACTTTTCCCAAGACAAGCAATTAGATTGAGCCTGAATTGTCTAGCCTTCTGGATGCTGGCTCTCTGCTCTCCCCAAAGAGGTTAAACACCTGGAGCTTCATGCTATAGCATTTCTTTTCTGTTTGAATCAACTCAGCAGAGAAATGATACTTTGATGACACTGGAGCTCCTTCCGCCATTGACAATGCTTGAAACATGCTGGAAGAAGAACAAGTCAAAGAAACGATGATAGAATGGGAAATTTTTTTGGGATATGCTATGGAATTGGATAAGTGGAAGAAACTAAGGGATAGGAACTATAAACTGACAATATTGACAGCATATAAAGAGAATCTGGCGTGCATAAGCGCACCAACGTGCCTACCATCCCTGTCCTATTGTTTCTTTATTTTTTCTTATATGTATCCATGTATTCATAACTATGTTTATACTTGTACCTATTATCTTGTAAGCAATAGACAAATCAAATAAATCAAACAAATAAATAAAAATAAATCTGTACAATATGTTTTATAAATGGTACTTTTGCGACAGCAAAATTAGCAAAAATGTTTAAAGATAAATCAATTAAATGTTGGAAATGTCATCAAATACCAGGAACATATTATCATACGTGGTGGACTTGCACAGACGCAAAAAGGTATTGGACTAAAATACACACATGGTTGGAGAAAATGATCAAACAACACATAGATTTGAAGCCTGAAATATTTTTTTACTAGGAAAGGTACCAGAAGGCTATAGTAAAGAAAAAACTTATTTAATTATATATGTTTTAACAGCGGCTAGAATTGTATTTGCCCAAAACTGGAAGAGTGATAAGATATCAATAGAAGCAAAAATAATTGAAAAAATATTTGAATGTGCAGAAATGAATAGACTGACACTAGAAATTAAAGAAGAAGAATCTGAATATTATATAGTATGGGATTTGTTTTACCAATTGATAGAAAATAGAATAAACTAAAAGGGATTAGATGTATTCATAGAGTAATAAGAGGAATTAAGGTAATAGGCATATTGGATTTCATTTATACTATATATATGGGAATGTGATTATTGTTATGTTGTTAAGTTGAATAAGAAGAATATTATTAATAGTAGTTATGTAATTTGAAATATGTACCTAATCAATGCAGGATTGAAATGGGATGGATTTTTTGTATATAAAAAGTAAAATACAAAATACAAAAAAAGAGAGAGAATGCTTGAAAGAAGTCTTCCTACAGATGTGTCTTTGTTACTGAGCTAAACAATGCATGGGGGAGTGAAGTTTGCTGCTGTTTGTACATGACTGTTTGTAAGTTAGCCTTAATCAACTTCAATCAGAATAGAGCTGGAAGGGACCTTGGAGGTCCTCTAGTCCAGCCCCCTGCTCAAGCAGGAGACCCTATACCATTCTTAACAAATGGCTGTCCAATCCTTTCTTAAAAATCTCCAGTCATGAAGCAGCTACAACTTCTGGTGGCAAGCTGTTCCACTGGTTAATAGTCCTCACTGTTAGGAAGTTTCTCCTTAATTCCAGGTTGCTTCCCTCCTTGATTAGTTTCCATCCATTGTTTCTTGTCCTGCCTTCTGGTGCTTTGGAAAATAAGTTGACCCCCCCCCATCTTCTTTGTGGGCCCCCTCAAATATTGGAATTCTGCTATCATGTCACCCTTAGTCTTTCTTTTCTCTAGACTGGCCATACTTCAATTCTTGCAATTGTTCTTCATATGATTTTATCTCAAGGCCTTTAATCATCTCGGTTGCTCTTCTTTGCACTTTTTCCAAAGTCTCAACATCTTTTTGATAACATGATGACCAAAACTGCATGCAGTTTTTAGGATTTATAAAGTAAATTTATAAATTTACTAAGGATTTATAAAGTGGAACTAATATTTCACATCATTTTGATTCTATGCCTCTGTTTAATACAACCAAGGATTGTATTAGCTTTTTTGGCTGCTGTCACACACTGCTGGCTCATGTTGAAGTGTATTAAACAGGGAGTGCATTCCAGGCATTGACCACTCTGTTGCTGAAGTCGTACTTTCTGCAATCAAGTTTGGAGCAGTTTACATTGAGTTTGTATCTGTTGTGCGCTCTTGTATTGTTGTGGTTGAAGTTGAAGTAGTCATTGTCTGGAAGGACATTGTAGCAGATAATTTTATGTACTACGCTTAAGTCCAACCCTTAAAAAAATATCTTGACTATGTATCAGAATGGTCAAACAAATGGCAACTTCAAATCTCAAAAAATAAATGCTCTGTCTTACATACTGGCAAAAAAAAATCAGAAAATAAAATACAAGCTGAATAGTCAAGAGCTTGTTGATGATCCAAGCTCTGTAAAGGACCTTGGAATACTCATCTCTAATGACCTAAGTGCTAGAGCCCACTGTAACTACATAGCCAAAAAGGCATTAAGAGTTGTTAACCTAATCCTACGTAGCCTTTTCTCTGGTAATATCACACTACTAACTAGAGCAGTGATCCCCAACCTTTTTTATGCCGCGGCCCGGTACCGGCATCAGCTGGGCGCCGCCATCTTTTTTTGATGAAAAAGTGCTTCCGGTGAGCTTTCTACCCGGAAAAGCTCACCGGAAGCGCTGGCGCCGCCATCTTTTTTTGATGAAAAAATGCTTCCGGTGAGCTTTCTACCCGGAAAAGCTCACCGGAAGCACTTTTTCATCAAAAAAAGATGGCGCCCAGCAACCAGCGGCCCGGTAGGACTTGTTCCGCGGACCGGTACCGGTCCGCGGACCGGTGGTTGGGGACCCCTGAACTAGAGCATACAAAACATTTGCTAGACCAATACTTGAATACAGCTCATCAGTCTGGAACCCACATTACGTATCTGATATTAGCACAGTTGAGAAAGTCCAGAAATATTTCACAAGAAGAGTTCTCCACTCCTCTACTCATTGTAGAATACCTTACGCCACCAGACTTGAAATTCTAGACCTAGAAAACCTTGAATTACACCGTCTTCGGTCTGATCTAAGTATGGTATATAAAATCATGCATTGCAATGACTTACCTGTCAGTGAATACTTCAGCTTCAACCATAACAACACAAGAGCACACAATAGATACAAACTCAAGGTTAACTGCACCAAACCTGATTGCAGGAAATACGACTTCAGCAACAGAGTGATCAATGTCTGGAATACTCTACCTGATTCTGTGGTTTCTTCCCCAAACCCCAAAAACTTTAACCTTAGACTGTCTACTATTGACCTCACCCCTTTCCTAAGAGGTCTGTAGGGGGAGTGCATAAGTGCACCAATCGTGCCTACCGTCCCTGTCCTATTGTTTCTTTTATTTTTCTTATACGTACCCATTTCATGTATACAACTATGTATATACTTATACCTATTATCTTGTAAGCGATTGACAAATCAAAATAAATAAATAAAATAAAATAAACTGTAGGCGGCGTAGTTCTAGGTTGTCCAAGCCCAAAAATCTTTCCTAACTGGAAGCAAGTACGATTGTTTTTGTTCTGTTTTCAAAGCAAATAGCACATGATTTCCGTTTCTTTAGGTGCGGGATGGATCAGGGGTGAAAGCAATACCGAAAACTCCCCATGTGGCTTGCCAACCTATTGTAGCCCTCTTCAACTTTGGGGTCTACGATTGTGAGTTGTTCAGGAAATGAGATAAAGGATTGCTGAGCACAGGCAGTCCTCCCAGTGGGGAATCTTGGATACAACACAAAGTGTTGATATTGTTGGCTTGCAGCAAAAGAGGAGGGAGGAAAACCCCAGAAGGAAAGGTGTGGAAGGAAAACACACATGTTTTCCCTAGGAGTCATAGTACACTTTCTCCATTTTCCCCACCCTCCTTTCTATTCCTTTTGATTAGATCTTATAAGGAAGTGGTAGCCGAACTAATCATAATTTTCCATGAATATTCTTTTAAACTCTGAACATACAATGTGGAAAGAACTTCTCACGAGCTGGCTTATTTCCGTTTCTCTTCCCTGCACAACCCTACTAAGTGATTTAAGAAAAAAATAAATAAAAGGATTCTCTCCCCAAATAGAGTCCCTGTTTATAGTATTAACTATAGGAGGCTATAGGAAAATTTACAAGTCAGTTTTTACTGTAGAACCGAAAATTGTTCCACCAGCTAGAGCTAAGTGCCAAATTATGGTAAATAGCAGAATCAAGACACTGAAAGCAGAGGGACTTGTCTATTATGTACCTGAGGAGCTAGTTTACACATTGCATGGGTTCTTTATTTGTTGCAGGATCTTTTTTTAAACACTTCAATCACATTCAGCTCAATGCTCATGCATGTTAAAGGCCTAAAGCCTGGTTTACAAGCCATAATTCGGGTTCACCCAAAAACGCCAAGTCAAAACAGCAGGTTCTACATCCGTGCATCTCAATCTTGACAAACTTTAAGCCAGCATGCTGGGGAAGCCCACACACCTTAAAGTTGCCAAGATTGAGAAATATTGGACGAGTGTCCTTCCTTCCTTCCTTCCTTCCTTCCTTCCTTCCTTCCCAAGCAATAGAAGACTTATATACTGCTTCACAGTGCTTTACATCCCTCTCTAAGTGGTTTACAGAGTCAGCCTATTGCCCCCAACAATCTGGGTCCTCATTTTACCCACCTCAGAAGGGTGGAAGGCTGAGTCAACCTTGAGCCAGTCAGGATCGAATTGCTGGCAGTAGGTAGAGTTAACTATAGCAATAACAATAGCACTTATATACTGCTTTACAGTGCTTTACAATTTCTCTATGTGGTTTACAATGTCAGCCTGTTGCCCCCAACAATCTGGGTCCTCATTTTACCCAAGGATGGGAAGCTGAGTCAACCTTGAGCCGGTCAGGTTCAAACATAGCCTGCAATGCTTCATTCTATCCATTGCGCCACCACAGCTCTTATCACAGAAGGTGGTTTCCACAGAAATCCACAGAAGGATGAGCTGTATCAATGTTTTAAACCAGTTGCTCTTTAGATTTATTAGGGCCAAGCTAGGAAGATCTGTCTCTGTCCCTTAAGAAAAACGAAAACTCCTTATGTATTTGGGTGCAGATTTTGAGTGATAGAAATTTGCTACTTACAAACATAGTAACTCCCTGACCAAAACTCTGATCCAGAAAAAAAAAGGAAGAGGCTGGAGTTGAAGGGAGTTGTGAAAGATGAATTTTATGTGCCACAACTATAGAAAGAATGAAGATGTCTTTCCACAGACATGTAAGATGGAAGCTTTTCTGCAGAAGTGCAGCCAACCAACATTATTAAAAGGCCACCCAATTTATTATGGCATCTGTTTTTATGGATAGGAATTCATTTTATCAGAATCATATTAGTGCATGGAGTATGGTTCTTGCACATAATTGTTTTGGAAGGGGAAGGGAGAGAGGAAAAGGAAGAATAATAACAAAAAGGATAAGAAAGAGAATGACTTCTGGTAAATCATTAACTCAGGCACATAAGTTGGTTAACACATGGAGAAAGGAAACTCCATCTCTGTTTTTTGCCTTCCTAAGAGGACAGGATTAAGTTTACTTGTGAATCCTAACTCAGTTCATGTTCTTGTATCAGAGTTCAGGATTCTCACCATAATAGTGCAAGGACACTTAAGTATAAAGTGTCACCTCTGGCTACATCTCAAAGGATTTTCTACCTCCCTCATCTCCTCCATGCTACTTTTACCTTTCTCCAAGTAGTAAGAATGAATTGCAATGAAATCCCGAGAGATCTTCCCATGACATCTGTTGATGGTCAGTTTTGATTGGCAAAATGAGCTCTTCAACCTTTGGTCAGCTCCAAGCAAGAGGCCAAATTCTTAGGAAAGGTTTCTTAATGGCCACATCCAAGCTCTTCACCCAACAATTAGCTAACTATAGAGCTCATTAAGTCCAAAAACCTTCATTTAATCTACCAATGCAGAAGCATAGTTCCATAATTGTAGACTCTCGATTTAAAGGTCTCAGTCACCCACAATCATGCACATTATGTTTTCTGTTGTGGTTATTTTGCCCCACAACCTGCTTATTCTTCTGAACCTGCCCCCAAAGTCTACCTTTGACACCTGCCCCAAAAGTCTACCTTTGCCACGAATAGGAACTGACCTTTACAAACAGCTCAATCTCTGGTTCCTTTGAGGGATTACGAAGCCAACTTGCCATCCTCTCCTTAGCTGGCCACCAACAGTTGCCGAGAACTTCCTTCCACCACAGACCGTTTGCCACCAGTCTTCCCCGCAGATGCGCTGGGTAATTTTTTGCAGGGCTGGGACTCTCTAGGGAAGATGGTGAGCTTTCATGTCTGAAACGCCCTTGGTGGGAAGCGGCTTTGCTTAGTCCTGTCTCAGCCAGAAGTTGTGACGAGGTGTGCCGAGCAACCTGCTACCAGTCGGAGGGGGATCTCTGTAAAGACTTCCCAGCCATGACTCAGCAACACGGTTTATCAGAAAGCCACATACCACGTTCTTCTCCGGGATATCAAACGAGCCAGATGTCTATTTCTCAGAGAAGCAACCCAGAATACGTCTTTCGCTGGACTGCCACTCCGCAGCTGCCAAAATTTCTATAACAGGAAGTGAGCCGGGAAGCATCTCCTACCTCGGTAGATAGAGAGGTCACTCACTTCATACATTTCTGCCGTATAAGAATTCCTCCACCCAAGGACATCCTACATTTTATTTACAAACTCATTTCCCATATGATGAACTTTTTTTACATAGCTAAATGGCCCTGTCCATGAATCAAAGCAACGGTGTAACACATTTGGGGGCGATTCCAAACTTTACAGGAATGAAAATATAAATTCGGGATAGAGAGACCTCTGTGGAGATGGGACGGTTAAACCAGCCCACTTCCCAACCAGTTCTAGTCACTTTCCAGAAAGCTCTCTAGAAAGAGAGAACATTGACCGTTGAACTAGAAGAAGTGGAATGTTCTTCCTAAGAAGAGAACATGATTGGATGGTCTTTCCGAATAAAAATGCTCCATTTTATAAAGCATTTGATCATGAATTACAATTGGATGGATGCCTGGATGAATGGGTGGGTGGATTGCTGGCTGGGTAAGTAGGTGAATGGGTGGATAGAGACAGATGACAGACAGAAAGACAGACAGATAGGTAGATTTGAGAATGGATGATAGAATGGATCCTAAAAGAGAACATAGCTTGCAGCTGACTGTTTGAAATTTTCTTTCTTTCTTTCTTTCTTTCTTTCTTTCTTTCTTTCTTTCTTTCTTTCTTTCTTTCTTTCTTTCTTTCTTTCTTTCTTTCTTTCTTTCTTTCTTTCTT